AATACCAGACAAATTGTAGATTGGCTTGATATTGGCATCGAAGTAGACCATATTGTAACATTAACATTTTAATGTGTATCGGGGACACTTAGAGCATCGATTTGCACCATTCCAATTTCAGTTCCAGGAGTTTTATGTTTGCACAATTGGTTAAACCTTTTCAAAATTGGAATAGGCCAAATCGATGCTCCCGATACTCACCCACAAAAATCTTTGAGACTTAAGATTCATTAAGGCTTAAGTCGATATGTTACACATTACTTATTCCTAAATGTCATTGATATCTTTGATATCTCATTATATTTCAGAGAGATTCACATTGGCTACCATGTCGACATTAACAAGAGACAAACTGATTGACGACGGTAGTCACATGAAAGTGCTGGTTTACAAATCTGATATCAAAGAGTGTCTACATAAAAAGTCTTGTTAACAAAGTGCAAAGAACAAAGCATAAATCAAACAGCCGACATTTAATCAACAATTCTGGCAACATGTTTCTAGCCCTGGGGAATACTGGACACAAATTAAACCGTTTGTCCACAATGTTAAAAAATTATCAAGTCAAACAGTGGGCAATATGGAAATAATTGGACAAACATAGAATTAAGTTTGGCCTGAGGGTGGAAAATAAAAGCTAACGATATAAATTATTCAGTGAAAACATGTAAAATATTGATGAATCATAATCCTTGTTAAGCCTCCAGATTTAATCATTTCCAACATTTTTATACAAGGCAGACGACATTTAGGATTTGACAGCAGGTTATGTTTTGACCTTCGGTTTTCATTAAAAATTGCCAGTACTTCGAAATTAGACGACTGAAAGTAAAATTGTAAAACATTTTCTTTGTGTAGGCCGTATTCTAGACAGCTTGGATCAGTTATGGTCTGCAATTGGATCAACAACCATCATAGGCTTCCTAATAACATTTGACTTTAACCTTTGCCTTTATCGATGCTTTCATGATTTTTGGTTATTTCAAAGCACATTGGATCCGTATTAGAGATCTTCCGGTAGAAATAGCAGAATGCATCATGACGAAATTATAAGTAGCTCACAAAACTATCACAAAGGATTTATAATCAAATCCCAAATAACACTTGACCTTATCTAGATTGATTCCAATGATGCTGGGACTTGAATTTCCAACGAATGTTAGAATCGAATATCTAACGAGAAAAAAAATCTCAACGACCAGAATTTCCGTACTCAATAAGCCCTTATCATCCCCAATTCATCAGCAAGCCATTCTGCCATCATTGTTTCCACTGACAACAATACTCTTTTAATCTCCTCGTTAAAAGAGTTGCTAATGCATTGAGATGCCTTTCATGCCTCCTTTTGAAGAGCTTGAAACTTAATTTGAACTCTCAGTTATTCATATGGAAATGCATGCAATAACTGTTAATAACAAGGAAACACAAACCCTTAGTTTCATCGATATTTGACCGAATTGGATCTTGTTGATTACAATTAGATTAATTCGAGCGCACTATGTATTCCTTGTTTTAAAGGTCACGACATTTGCCAACAAAATTGCAATATAGAAATGATATTAGATTATTCGTTTTTAAGAAAGGTTTCACAAGCATGCCAAATATTGTATCATTTCATGCTGAAAGGGAAAACCACCAAATAAAAACTGTCGACGTCACTCATGATTTGAAACAATGCATTCTGTATGAAACTTTGCACTCAATCGTTCCGATTTGTTCGTCTTTCAGTTTCTGAAGAAAACCCCCCGTGACTATACCGCATCAGATTGCATTGTCAGTGCAATACTGTTCCAACTGACTAAATATTGCTATGAAAGTGTGTGGATACGGACAGTTGGTTCTATGATGAATCACCCTGTAAAGTTCCATGTAGTTTTATTATGTGACATTACCATGATCCGATAACAACTTGATTACAAATGAGATAATTGAATGCAAATATTCTCTAGTGTTATTTTTATTAATAAAATGACAATATATCACATAGCGTCACATCTGGACTAGTGTAATGAGGTTTAATTTATAGCTTTTGTTTCATGATAAATTCACTTTCTATTTGTCGGAAAAATGGAGACTGATTGTAAAAAGCTCAAAAAATAATATAAGCTAATTTTTTTAAAAATTGTTGTAAAATTTGCTGTTTTTTTTATGACAATGGCCCCGTCAAAATGCTGCCACAGGAGCGTGGAGGGCATGAAACCCGTGGTAGTTCCTTTCTAAAACAAATTGCCAAAAACATATGTTAAAATACAATTTTACTCTTGTGCCTTATGCCCCTATCCTGTCAATCTCAAGTTGGTATCAACCCCTGAAGTCAGTAGGTAGGTAGATGACAAGTTAACGTTCGCTTCCAGCGGATGCTGATATCGCAAACTGAAGTCAGTGAAAACAGATAACAATTAAACGTTGAGCATGTCTATTTCTTATCTTTTATAGCTACAATACACGAATAAATAGGTGAGATTTTCCACTTGATCCAAACAGCGTCGTTATAATCCTTTTTTAATTTCAATCAATAAGACTAGACCTTTCTGTTTTTTAAAACCCACGCTTCTCATCGATGCATACAGCTCTTATACTACGAGAGATCAATTTATCAATTCAATATTGAATTGCATTTGCACTTGCACCTTAGAGATCAATATACCTTGAAGATCGTGTTTTAAATTGTAATACATACAAAAACATCTGTCCCTCTGTCATTATATTGTCATTATTTCAGATATTAATAATAACTCATATTGACACAGCTGTATAATAATGTTTTGTTCATTGTCTACCAAAGCATGATCTTACTTGTAACGAGCAACATTTAATTACCCTGTTTAACTACCTAGATACTTCAACAAATTAGACACATAATGATCTGAAGTTTACAATAGTCAAAATGTTTCAAAAGAATGTATATCATTGATTGCTAAGATTCTACAAATATGTTCAAATAAGGTTTGTGCAAGTTTATGAGTGTACCAGGGACTTGCACCATTCCGACTTCGGTTCTACGTCTGTGTAATTCCTGGCTAGATAAAAAAAATAAGGCAAATGATTTGAATGTTTCCCGTTAAAGTGAACTTATGAAATACACACATTAGATAGAAATCAGAATGGTGCATAAACAAGATGTAAGTATACCTGATGTGAAATTGGGTTGTATGTCCTAATAAACTTTCTACATATAGACGTTCTACGGTCCTGGTCCTTTTACGTTCAATACGTCTGCATGTAGAAATTTAACGAATCTGCAGAACTCAAATTACCGTAAAATTTTAATAGAAAACCTTATAAAGGCTTGAATAAGACCTGCAGCCAATAATATAGATTTTTAAGCCAAAGCAATAATTATTCTCAGTGGAGGTGATCTTTCATTCAATCTAACCAACTTTATTGAAAGCTTTATCTATCTTCAGGCGTGTATTTCCATGTTCTATGATTACCATGTTTATTTTAGCAAATTAAAATATATGACGTTTCAAGATATCAAATTATTATTTTTACAAAAAGTGAATTTACTATTGAGGTAAAAAAAAAAAAGCCAAAGTCAAAAAAGCCAAAATATACCCACTAACAATTCTGAAGAAATCATCTAGGAAGTATCTAATTTTTAACCCCAAATCTTAATAGAGCTATGCGATACCCATCAAAATCTTAATTCTTAAGTCAGATTACACAAGCTTGCAAATACAACAGTGAACTATTCCCTTGAATTTAACCCAGATTCCATAAATTTGCAAATAAAACAGTGTTTTTTCTCTTGAATATAAGCCAGACATTTGTGCTTCCAGAGCAATAATGAGAAATAATTATAAAGAATATTCCGGATTAGCAGCCAATATTTCATATGAAGCACAGATAACAACCATCAGAATACTGTATGAATAATCATTCTTAATGCTATTAAACCTGAAACGTCTGCTGTATAATGGAAATCTAAGAATTATATAGGCAATTACCAGCCACCATAAAGAACATTAATACACAGGTGGCACATTCCAGACACTTGTTATTGTAGTGATGTTGATAGTGTATGTTCAGAACACATTGCCGTAACATTGCTGTGGACGTATGCGTCTTAATTAAATCATTGAATAAAAACATTAAATCTTCATCCAAATTGACACATTGTCGGCTGAGAACTACAATCTAAAATAGAATGTATGGTATTTTGCATCATATATACTCAGGCATATACATGAACCATTTTCTTATGGACTCTTAAATGATTACGGTGTTGAATTTTAAAGATTACCAGATAGATATCAAATATGGTTCACAAAATCAACCACGTATATAGAAGCATTAGGTTTTCTCAAAGGTTAATCACAATCTGCATAGCAAGAGAAAGTTGAATGAAATTCCACGCTGAAATGTGGACGCTGAATGCAAATCTTAATCTTAACAAGATTCAATGGCGCAGATCTTTGTAAGTACTTAACTAGGAGCGTATCTGTATGCCCAAGGCACCTATATTCATTTATCCATCTCCAGTAGTCTTTGACATCGAAAAGGACAGCTAAGACAACTATCAATGGATCTGAACAGTGTGAATGTCATAATTAGGTTCTAATCATTATCAATTAGAATGACTGTTCGACTTCTTAGCAAATTTCGACTAGAATTCGTCATATTAGTTTTATGCTATGTCGGCTAAAAATGGTTAGGAATATCACTGGCATTGGAAAAATCTCAACCATTTCATTACGATATTTACATTATAAAACATGTTGTTAGATTTGTTTATAAAGTGGTTGGCCTGGTGCCGAGACGGTGTTCTGGTGTAAAACTGTCAAAGTACAAAGATCGTGTGAATCTTGATATTGTATACAACCATGTCCACTTGAGATTCTGGCAGTACACGATGTTGCTAGAATTAAGTGTTACCTGATTCAAAAATAATGAGTTTGGTTAGACGTATAAATATACCTACAAAAAGGTTACAGATTAACTGAATGATTAAGCAATGCGATTATATGATGATTTCAATATAAAAGCAAAACGGTGTGTCTTACCTGTCCACTGATGTTAGCTCCACGTTTGGGCGCATTTAAAGCTGATTTAATCCCCATTGAATCATGATCTATTCTTCCAACATGTTTGGGAGCATGAACATGACAGTATATATCACTATGGTTTTCTTGATCCCATCGAAAAGTTCTCAAAGTTAGCTGTAATCCACATGTTCGACATCTAAAACAGCGTCTATGGAACAAATTCCCCACGTTTACCCTTTCAACTGGGTACACTATTTTCTTACAACGGTAGCAAGCGTCTTCCTGTTTTGGTGGATTCTGTTCTCCATCCGAATCACCATCACTAGACAGCTGATCACATAGAATATTCATACTGCAGCCTTTGGTCTCACATGTTCAACAAAAATGAGATTTTATGGTCAAATAAGGATTGACATATCCAAAACGTTGTGCTATTGCAGTAATAAGGCCAAACTGGCAGTCAATTCCATAGTCTCGGGATTCTTCAAAGTATATTTTGAAGTAAAGCTGTATATAGCATTGTCCTTACCAATCATAACTGAGGGGCCACATTGAAACAAGAGTAAGTGTGTATAATATTCAACAGTCAACATTCAATAGTACATCAGTGTGGTATGAATACGAAAAAAATTCGTTTAGCTTCATTGGTATTTCGACGAATTTCGACACTATAGTGTCGTAAGGGTTAGCAACCACATAATCCAAAATAATCAAAAAATTTATTTACACATGCTCTTTTTGTTCTAATGAAATTTCAAAATGTTATTCCATACTGTACATTACACACTTATATAAACACAGACCTCTCGCTAAAAATAACAACCAAGTAATAAAACAACCACTATCCAATATGACAGTTTAAAGCCAATACAGTCTGCTTAAAGATGGTCTGTTGACCTTAACGACGCTTGCAGGAACTGGCAGGTGTATTCTTCCGAGGTTAATGAAGCACGCGTGAGTAACGAATACATCTGATTCATTTTACTTGATTAACTTGTAGTAATTCACCTAGAAATAGGCAACCTTAAATATAGTAATAACTAATATCGATTGATGATTATCACTGAGTAAAATACTGTTTATATCAGATACCGATCACTGCACACATTCACCACTCTTCACTCATGCTTTCAACCACGACGACTGAGGTTCCTAAACGTGACCGGTCTTTAATTCTAACGCTCAGCCAAAATCAATATAGTGTACAATCTTGTTTCAGTATATCATTTTCTCTACACGATGGCTATAAAACTGTTTTAAAACCAGTCGATATAAGCTATTTGGAATCAAAGGGTTTTCTGAATATTTTTATTTGTTTTTCAAAAACAGTTTCTTTATCAAAGTGATCACGTTGACATAAAATGATCTATTCCACGCTCATAGACTTAAATGAACTTTCAATCGTATTAATAACTTTAGCTTTTTCAAGGCTATTCAGTATTATAGTAATTCAGATTATTTATGCATATCTGCATCTGAATATCTTAACATGGTTTTATCTGAAAAGTGGTATAAAACGTATAATGGAATTCTCAACACAGATTAAACATGATAAAAGATATAATCTAAAATGCTTAATATGTCCTCTGGGTTGTCCTTTTAAACACTAATACAGGACTATAAATCATACTGTTTCAATATTCAGCATACAAAGAATCCTTCCTGGCAATGAAACATTGCAGCCTTTCATACACAAGATACATTTTTTTCACATCATTTTCAGATAATACACTGAATGGCGGTTCAAACAAATTGAGATCAAATTGTTTACTTTGTCCTCATTCAAACCATTGGTTCATTCAATAACTTTTTACATTGAAGCAGAATTCAAACACAGGAGACTCAAACCATCGAGATCCTTGTCTTATAATTCAAGTAAGAGATAAATTTTATTCTGGTTTTTCGTTATAATTGAATTTGAGCTATCTCAATATTTTTCTAATATTCCAAGTACCAGAAAATTCTATATACGACTTTCCATTATAATTGGATTTTAGCTATCTAGATCTTATAATGTTTACTGTTTCATTCTTAAGCCCACGTTCTTGTTTGTCATTAATTAATTAGTTCACCTTTGTCCTGTCAATCAGATAGCTCGTGTTAAGATTCCGATATGAAATAAGTTATTGAAAAAAATGCACGTGGTGATTGGTGCATTATTTATCTAGGAAACAAATTGCTGCTGAATGAAACGTGCTCCTGGCGTTGAAGGTAACATTCATTCACTGCGAGTATGATGTTGACCAATTAGTCACTGAAATACAAAAAAGTATTAGTCGAATGGTTGTAAAAAAGTAAGTTATTGAAATTACGAAAGCACGGTCCTAGGATAACATTCAGTTACACCAATGATTGTTTTGTTCAGAAAAAACATGAATATATTATGTATATCAGGTGTTGATTAAAGAAACAAAATAAAGAGTTCGTTGAAACTAATAAATACATTGAAATCAATGGAAAGTATTGCTTATCTGCTACCGAATGTTTGAAATATATATCCAAACACGTACACAGGACTAACACGGGAGTCTCTTTAAGATTCCATGTCTGGCTTATTCCCTGGTCTAAAGTAATTAATCATAATTACAAACTAATCCTATCAGTTCAAGACTACAGGTGTACTGGGTAATCGAATATCCAATCTTCACAAAGAGAGTTTTTACTTTGAAAGTCTCAGACGTTATGTCTTGTTTTCAATAGACGCCAACAGACAAATAATACATGGTCATTAATTATAGGTTGGTCGATCAGTTTGAAATGTCTTGGTAATGTTCAATGCCACTTGTTACAGCGAAGACATGAGAAATAATTGATGGCAGTATTGGCCAACATCATCTAAATCATTTGCTATTAGGACGAATCATCATTCAAGCTAAATGCTACTACATGTATATACATTATAACATATCATATTTGACAAAAATGTAGCTAGACCAAAAGCTATGTGGGCAACTGAGATAAGAAAACAACGTCCTTTTAAATGGATTTCAGGACAAAGCGTGATCGGGACCAAATGGTTGTAGGTTAAGCAAGCCATTTGGTATTTAATAGCTTTGTGACAGCACATCATCATTGCTGGATTTGGCAAACAGCATCGTACCCAATTGTCTTCAGTAGAGCCTTTGATACCATGACCAAACCTACATGCTTCCGGACAAAAAAAAAACAAATCGCATATTCAGCTGATACGAAACTCCTGTTTGACAAATGTCTCGTATAGGACAAAACGCCAAAATTGTTACAATAGAAAAACTGGCATTACAATACGATGGCATTTGAGATAATAACTTCGTTATAGCTTTTATCTTACAATGTATTCAGCTAAGCGTTATTATAAGAACATTTTGTTATGCTCTTATTCACATTATCTAAAGCAATCGATTTTTGAATTAAAAGACAATGGTACGCCTACACTGTGTATGTGCTATGAATATTAGACAATGGTTTCAATATGAAACTTGAAATTAATATGTCTTTTACTAAATCGTTTCGAGAAAGAATTTATAGCTAATGGCGATGCTTTTCTTACGCCAATTTGACATTACTTTAATTATTCACTGTAAGAAATGAAAAGAAATCAAATGAACAGTCAACAAATTGGATGAACAGTCAACAAATTGGATCAAAGTCAACAAATTGTATCAAAAATCAACAAATAGGGTGCACAGTCAACAAATAGGGTTCATAGTCAACAAATTGGATCAAAAGTCAACACATAGGGTTCACAGTCAACAAATTGGGTTCACGGTCAACTAATAGGGTTCACAGTCAAAAAATTAGGTCAAAATAGGGTTCACAGTCAAAAAATTAGGTCAAAATAGGGCTCACAGTCAAAAAATTAGGTCAAAATAGGGTTCACAGTCAAAAAATTAGGTCAAAATAGGGCTCACAGTCAAAAAATTAGGTCAAAATAGGGCTCACAGTCAAAAAATTAGGTCAAAATAGGGCTCACAGTCAAAAAATTAGGTCAAAATAGGGTTCACAGTCAAAAAATTGAGTACGTAATCAAGGATCCCAAGAAATACAAGATAATGTATTATGAAAATACACCATGAAACAAATTTAACTATAAATATTGTGAAAAGCTTACAAAACACAAACTTCCAGAAACATCACAAAATAATCCATAAAAAAAACACCACTGATAGAATGTTTGTCACTTCACCTATATTGTCGCTTATAACACGTTAAATATAGATAATGATTCATGCAAAATACAACAAATTGATTCTACAAGTTTATGTTAATCGATACATACATAGATATTTGTATATACTGATGGAATGATGACACATCTTTGTCTATCCTCATTGACACAGCAGCTGTCGTTGGTCCAATATTCATTATAAATAATTAATCTTGCAGCTAGAATATTGTTCATTGCTTCAAACAACGATTTCCCATACAATGACTAGGGTTTTATTTTAAATGTCAATGTACAATGCAATCAATTGATATCACGATGTAGAACATGATTTGATGGTAATATTACAATGTATACATAAGGCTCTTCTTTGAAGTCCACGGGAATAATGCCAAGCATTAACCTTGACTTATTAGTTATAGATTACATGTAATGTAGTAGAGAGAAATGCTTGAATGAATTCTCCTTATTAAAGTTTGCGACGTCATCAACTTTCACATTTCACATTACGTCACAAACTCACAAATGTAAAGGTGCTTATAAGTCAAATTGGTGGTTTCCAAGATCCGCTGGTTATGAAAATGTAGAATTAGATGTTACCTGTTAGGTGTTACCTTTAACTTTCAGAATAAACTCCTGAAATTACCTTGCTTAATCCCTTTACAGTACTTTTCATTCACACAAGCCATAAACCGATAGGCTATATATGCCTATGCACAGTGAAATTACAATATTCAAATTTCCTAGAACGCTACATGCTACCTCTCAGAAATATCGGCAGCTTGCACATTTTCCTACAGTTTGGCATAAACTGAAGTGTACACAAACACTGTCAAGACAAAACGCACCGAATCGACTACCCCTTTTAAAAAATAAAGACTTAAAAGAAAAAAATCGCTAAGCCATTATAAAAACTATCCAGTGAGACATTCAGCGTGATTTCATCATCCTATAGAATGCATGAACATCAACAATTTTCACACTTGAAATGAGAATTATTGGGAATACAATGACGTGCAAGTCTTTTTAATTCCTTTATGTTCTATTCTGTTTTTGATTGGATGCTTCTAATACTGAATGACTTAATAAATATTGACACAATTTTTTCAAAAAAATCGAAAGCATGACGCACCACACACGGTTTGCTTTATACTTGATCTTTGAACCTATATTTCTATAGGGGATTAGTAAGGCGCGCTGCGTCTTCTCAAGAAATAAAATCGATTGAAAAATTTGTATTGTTCAACATCAATCGTCTTTTATGATTCAAGTGGTTTACTCTGTGTGTACCGAATCGCGTGGGTTTTTTTTCTCGATTTATTCTATAATACTATTAACGAGTGCTGGCAATCAGCAGGTATAGATGCCAATAATGATGTTTACACTCAAAATAACAGCTTAGTCCAAACCATATCTATTTTGATATCGAAAATTTTCTGATTTCCCTGTAATCTCTGCCAAATAAATTGTGCTCGACTATTAGAAGTGACACAATAATAAAATATTTTCACTATTAAATTAGAGCTCAAATTATCAATTGTAAGAATATTTTCAAAATAAAAATAGGATTTTATATCATCTGAGCCTTACCTTGATGATATTAATAATAAAACTTGACATCAAATACCATCCTTTACTACCAAACTTTTCATCAGGGGAAGAAACACATTACAAAATGTTGATAGACACAGTAAATATAATGAAGTAAGAGATACAAGTAAATATGTTAATAATGAAATATTTTCTAAAATGAAATAGTAGGCATGTTTTAATGAAAAATAAGATAAAATGTTATCAGGTCCAATTAATGGTATTATAAAAATATTAAGACATCTCCCGAAATGAAAAGCTTTATTTTGAGTTTGTTAAAGATATTATAGATAATGTCCATCAGAAAAAAAAATAATGGTACAATTATAACCAATAGTTAAAGAAGAGTTTCGTCCCTTTAAATTGCTTCAACCAGTGTCACTAATAAAGATTAAGATTTATAATAAATTCTGCCGCTTTCAGATTATTATAGTTGTCAAAGAGTCAAAATAAGCTCGTATGAACGTATGGGCAAAATATGCAGTGCTAATGATGTAGTTTTACCGCTAAATTGTTTATATTTACAGTGCTTTGGCTTCCGCAAATTTGTTGATGAATTAAAAGGATTTAGATTTCGTGATTTACTTGTTATACGTCAATCTCGGCTTGAAGCCATAGTGCGATCTTTTTAAAACATATTTCAGAGTCACCCAGAACAATCAATCCAAAGCTATCCAAAACTTGGGTCGATTGGTACAAGAATCCTTCATAGTTAACATGATGTTTTCGACAGGATGGTATATTCGAAACAGTCGTCGGTAAGCACAAAGCATAAGCTGAACTTTTGATAAAATGTGAAGGCTAGGCCTACATGATGACACCATATACTCTGTAAAATCCATGTAAGCATGTTCCATTTGAAAAGGGAAACACACACGTTCTGAATTTCTTCAAATTCATGCAAATTCAGTATTCTTTAAATCTTCTCCTTAAAATAAACCTGTCATAAATTTATATGTATGTCCTGGTAATAAACGACAACAATTACAATTGGTATGATATATCGAGTTTGACAGAACCATTTTTAAAAAGATCCTTTATAAAAGAATTTGTTATTATAAAATCCAAAACTGGATTCTAGTAACTTGTTAGTGGTGGTAAAAAGTTATAAGGTAAGTCAATCAATATAGGAAATCTAACAATAGATTTCATTATCATCATAAATAATTTCCCAAGGGAAGGGTGTGATATTCCGGGAGTAAATCATACATTGGTGAATTGTTCCGCTAAAGTAATCAGTAATACAGTTTACAGTTTACCGTCAAAATTTGAACCTACAAATTCAAGTGTATCAATAATTATCTATGTTTGAAAGTTATTTTAACGAGTCGTCATTAAGAGACTTTTTATTTTTGATATCACTTGATGATGTCATCATACAGCAGGCTTAATCATCCTGCCCCACTTCGTCTACACCCTGCTGCGATTGAAGATGTCTTGTTGTCAGCGACTATATCAAGTAGTCGTTAAACTTGCGGATACCCCACATTTCAGAGAGAAGATAAGCTTGTTTACGAAATAAAAAAAAAATAAAAATTCCTTGTTTGTGGTCTATTTGAAGGAATTGTGTGATTTTCATACAGTTTTGGTATGTCTGAAGACAATTTACATATACTGTATATTCAAAGTCCAAATCAACCCCAAAAAATGCTACACATGACTCTTTATGTTTGGGCTTTTTATCGGATTAGTTTTTCATCTTCATTTCAATTATATTTCAAAGATATGCTACATGTATGCTTTGGTCCAAGTTGTCTGTTTGAACCATTAGTGTTTCACTGATTGGGGGGCTTGGGGGGGCTTTGCCACCCCTTAATCAAATCTTGCCCCCCCCCCCCCCCCCGGTCACTTTTTTAAAATACACCTTTTCTTTTTCCTGAGTCTGAGTGAATAGCACAAAGTGATCATTCTGGTCAGGCATTTTATGGTGGAGTAAGTGCACCAGTCAGCTGCTCTTGCATTGTCGATCATATGATGAGTATTTCGATATTTTGATTATACGTAACGAAAAATAAGGTTATGGCTTTCAGGGCTGCGTTATGCGAAATGGTTCAACAAAATACTAAGTATTCCTATCTGTAGGCCTAGAACTGTTTTTAAATATCTTTCTGTTTATGATGAAACCAGACATCATAGCTTTTTTAATTTAATTACATTAGAATAGATAATTGATAATTTCATACAATTGAGTTTGTTGAAAATCATAAAAAGTCTGCATTAAAGCGTCATTGGTAACAAAATTATTGGTCTGATACTGGATTGTCATCTGTCCCGTCTCAAAATTCAAAAGATTTGATTGGTTGATTATAAATACTAACTAATAGACATATATTATCCTAAATTGTATTCATATGAATCAAACAACCAAACGTAGGAAAAATGGATAAATATTTGATCAAAAAAGACAAATTGCTTGATGGTTCCGACACTACTACGACTGACACTGGTATCAAAACCACAGCGGACAACACAACGGATGCAGTACCAAGATGCTCTGAAAAGACAGGAGTACCAGGTGACATTGGAAAAGAAGACGTTCCAAAGCAACCGAGAATAAAATTTCCAGCGAAGTCTGATCGCCATTTTAGTAACAGCTGGTATGATCGATTTCCATGGCTGGAGTATTAAGTGTCAAGGGACGCCCCTTTTTGATTTCCATGTCGGGTGTTTCACAATACATCTGCGGGTGCATAAAAATTCATCACTGAAGGCTACACAGATTAGAAGCATGCTGTAGGTGATACTGGAAAGGGCCTCGAGAAGCATAACAATTGAGGTGTCAAAAAATTTCTCCAAGATTTCGTTGCCAAGACAGAAAAGCAGGACTCCAATCTTGTTCTTCAAAAACTATACAAGCAGAAATTAGCTTTCCCTAAATTATATGCACTGGCAGCAAGCGTTGCCACATTCGGTTCTAGTACCGCTGTGTGTGAAAGCAGCTTTTCAACTCTTACTCGCGTTGACTCACCACAACGACGATCTATGACTCAGCTTCGCCAGCGCAGTCTTGTTCTTCTCGTTTAATCGTCTGTCAAGGTGCTTTGCTAAATTGCCCCCTTCGATTGCACGTTTGCCTCCCCAGGAGTACTGGTCAGGCTACAGGCCTGCTTGAATGAGAAAAACACCTCAAAATATGTTTTTGAACAAAATAGAGACTAAATGATTAAATAACTGACAGTATATATGTATATATATCAATAAAACTAAAAATGCACGATGCTGTCTTTTATGATTCAATTTGTTTACACGCATGGGTTATTTGTCTCGATTTTTCTATAATACTATTAACGAGTGCTGGCAATCAGCAGGTATAGATGCCAATAATGATGTTTACACTCAAAATAACAGCTTATTTCATATCTCGATACCGTGGGTTTTTCTATTCCCCTGTAAATGTTGTCACTGGCAATATACATCATGCTTATTATAGTGACAAGTGACAAAATTTCTGAAATAAAAATAAAAAAGATGTTACATAGTTTTAGGTGTTATTTCAACATGCTCTATTTCGAAACTATAATTACAGTGAAACAATAGAAATAATAGGTATAAGGGGTATAGGTATAACAGAAGAGTTTCGTCCCATTGGATTGCTTTTCAACCAGTGTAACGAATTAAGATTTAAAGTTATAAAAAAAAAATAGAGTTTGAAGAGGAAGGCAAGTGGAAAGACAGCACACACAATTCGACAGTGATATGAGACACGTGGTTTTGATATAGTCGTAAAGCTTTTGGCCAATAAATGTTCGCGAAGGTAGGCCTATTTCTGTAAAGGGATGCAGGTGGTTGTGCCATCCATCTGAAAGCAATGCTAGCAGGCGAGTGATAGGCCACCGTTTCAAGTACAGCCGCCCCGCAGCCCCGGAAGTAAGTTTTCGGGCAAAAATCTCATAACCAGTTAGAGACTCTGGCAAATTCAGATATCTCGCACCCTCTCGGACGTATTGTTACCCTTTCTAGACAAATGTCTTACACGGCTGATTAAATCTGAGTCACCCGGAACTCTTAATTCAAAGCTAAATATGGAAACTTCACTTTGGTCGATTGGTACAAAAATGGTGGGACAAATTTTATTTCCGTGGTTAACTCATTAAAAAGTCGGTGAGCAAAAAGCTTAAGATTAGCTTCTGATAAAATGTAAAGGCTATGCGACGACATCATAAATCCTGTAAAAAAATGGTTTTTCAGAATCCGTGTACGCATGTCCTTTGAAAACGACAACACACATGATCTGAATTTCCTCAAATTTATACAAACTCTGTCATATTTTTAATATTACTTTAAAATAAACCTGTCATAAATTTATATGTATGTCCTGGTAATAAACGACAACAATTACAATTGGTATGATATATCGGGTTTGACAGAACCATTTTTAAAAATATCCTTTATAAAAGAAAATTCGTTATTGTCAATCCAAACTGGTAAAGTAGGAACTTGTTAGTGGTAGTAAAAAGCGAAAAGGTAAGTCATCAATACTAAAATATGGGTGACCGCTGGAAGGGAAAATCCAGTATTGATACAACCATCAGTTCATTGTGTTCACAAACACGTTTTTCCATTTGATATACGGTGGTATGACATGCATGAAAGTTAAACTTTCGGATTAGTTTTCTCTTAGTTTTTCTTCGTTTTTCAATTCAACAGAAAATATATGCTTTGAATCCTTAATTTTCATCTGTGCCACAAGAAAGGACCACAATTCCGTTCAAACTATTTTTACTTATAGGAAGACAAAATGAAGTTTGGTGTTGGATTCTTGTTGAGCTGCTTGGTTGCTTTAAACACGGTCCAGAATATGCTAGCTTTAAGTTGTCTGCCCTGTGACTTTGACACACTAAAATGTTCACCATTACCAGATGACGATGATTGTTTCCCAGCCTACACACCATGTGGTTGCTGTCCTCAGTGTGCTGGAGAGGAAGATGATTTCTGCGATAACTTCACAGTTAGGTAGGTAATAATTCAATTTTTATATTTTAATTTTGTAATATGAAATGACTTGAGCTCGTGTATAGAAGGGGGTGGTGGAATTGTGTAACTTTCAGAAGGCTATTTGTCTACCTGCAAATTTAGATTTATTTTAAATTTAAATGTTTTAGTTGAGACCTTCAGTACAAAATATAAGTTATTTTTGCATCAAGATTTTGAAACTGTCAAAAAATTCTAAATTCCTTTGTTTCTTATGACTGACATTATAGATTTATCATTTTATATAATGTATCTAAATATAATAGATAATATTCGCATGGGAAACAGGGTTATCTTCAAAGTATTTGACGTAATCTTCTTTTTTCAGATGCCATCCTGACTTAGTCTGTGTTAATGCCACTGGTTTTGAGAAGAAGTTTGTGTATTGGTATGAATTTGATTTTAAAGGAACATGTCAAGAATCTGAGTTAGAAACAGAGTATGAATATGAGTATGAAGAAAACGAAACAAAGAAATAGATTGTAACAGTTTATTGATGGATTACAAGATTTCAAACACAAATGTATATTGGGTTTTGTCGATACACAAAAACTTACAACATGATCCAACATGATGGCAAGCATAAAACGGGGTGTAGTTCACTCTTGCGTCTGGAGATGCTTAGAGCAATGGGATTTCAACAGTTACTGGCAACTGGCATTTGAGATAATCCGAATGAGAATCTCTGAATTTAGTAGAACCGAAATGCACCAATCCAGTCCTATCTCTTTATAAAAGCTTATAATACTGGATTGGGTGTCGTGGTAGATCGCAGTTGCCACTAGTTGTTCATAACTTTTGTCGTCTGTCGTCTAGCTTAGGTAGTTATTGCCACCATCTAATTGATTGTAGCTGCTAGTATTCGGTCAATTTTTCGATAAGAGTATCGCAACTGCGGCGGATCCAGAAATATGCTATGATTTGTCTCACTACAAGAGCTCACATTCAAAGATTTAACCACCAAGAAAATCAAACCCTCAAATGAACGTCTTTGTATGTCAGCAAGCAGTCTTTTGTTGATATTACGCCTTAAGATATTATAAACTTTCCTACATTACACGTTAGCTTTAATACGTTTATTGTATCTGCATTGAAGACCATTGATCAGATCAAATGATTACACAATGTGAATAGACCTGTCATAGAAATTTTCTTCTGCTGAAAGCCGATATTTGTGTTTTACCCTGAGATTTTGTACACTGATGTCTGTCGAAATTCTAGATGAAGTCCAGCGAGAACGTTCATGTACTAAGAAAATCTAGTTGATAAGCTTGCCTTTTTTTGAGGCATGCCTATGTTAATTTTGTTTTCGTGAAATTACACATTTTAAAATAGAATTCGTGACCGCTTTTTACTAGGAAATATGTTAAATTGTCAAATTACGAGTATTATAGTCCACAATTTTTACAGAATTATTGTATAGCAAATTTGAATCAGGTTTGGTCAGAATTTAGACGTTGATAAATTATACAACAATGCTAAATAAAGTAAGTTACTAAAACTAGAATATCAGCATCGCTAGACTTCATGGCACAGTGGACGAGACAGTAGTGACGACACAGTAGAAGGTGTAGTCAAGTGTACAGGCACAGAACGTAGGTTACTTGGAAACTCTTTCATTACTTTAGGTAAGATTTACATTTTGTAAAAGTATGCAATGTAATACATTATTATCAGTCGTAGTTGCTGAAACAGAAAACGGAGATCTATGTAAGTAATTCATTATATAGAATAATACAATAATAAAATATTATAATATATAATATATTATTATAATATTGCTCAAGCACACTTCTTTAAATAAACGTTTCGAACTTGTCTGGAAGTGTAGACATGAGAATAAGTTCTACTTGTCCAAATTCTGTAGGGACGCAGGGTGAAAATATGTCAGTTGTCTGAAGATCGCATAGCGTGAAACTCTGAGAAACAACAACAAGGTTCTGTTTTAATGTTCCGATATAGATATACATATAGTTCAATTAAAGGTTTTCGTAATTGATCCGTATTAGCCAATGTTGATATAGTAGCGATGACCATTGTAATGCAAGTCTGAAAGTCTGATCACGGAGGACACTGCAGGTTCTCAATTTTTTCTTGATATCGTTTAATGGATTTCTTCATATCGTCATTTATGACCTGATGCTCAGTATATCAAAGCTGGAAGATAGCTTCTTTTACGATCAGTAGAAATCAACATACATAGTATAAATGCTCATTTGAACTTTTCATATACAGGTGATCCATGAACAATGTCTTCTAAAGGGCTGATTCTGGTCTTAGTTGTGACATCTATATCTTTCTTACCAGTGGCATCATTATTTTGTCCTAGAAAATGTTCTATTCACGATATTCTTGCTTGTCGACCCATACCCAAACATGAAGAATGTTTTCCAACTCAACCGTTTTGCAGCTGCTGCAAGACCTGTTCTGGGCAAATGGGTTCTATTTGTAACTACAAAAGCCCAAGGTTAGTACATCATATTGACTGTATAAGTAGCGAACTCATATCATATTTTTTGATGTATTTCATAGCCAAGGTTCTAAAACCTTTACAAGCGTGCACGTGCCAAAGAGCCCATTACTATTTACCATTTCCCTACCAAGTTATCAAAATTTATAGCATATTTAAATATATTTTACTGTCATGGTTCCGCATTTTGAAACCAGGCTTTATTGATATCCCATAAAAAGGTATAGTAAGATTAAAGACTGAACAGACATTTGATTGGTTGAAATGGTAACTATGTTTTTCAAAAAAAAGTCTAAAGATCCTATTGCGAGTGAAGCAACCTAAGGAAAATATACGAACCAGGATTTGTTTGTATATTTCAGGTGTCGTCCTAATATGGTATGTCAACATATAAATGGTATACAGAGTAAAGTAATATATAGATGGGTACCGTGGTTTACTGGTAGATGTCAAGTTATGGTGGATTAGAGTAGAACGTCATTGGCATGACACAACAATGTCGATCATATTAAAATACGGATTCAATCTTTTGTTTGTTTCTCTTATTACATTTTCTGACGTTAAGGTTTTAGAACTTCGAGCAAAAAATATATATGAGTTAGATTCAAACATAATCACACGAAATGTGTCTGTTTTGCAACTCTCCCGGTCAGAAACATATATCACCCTATAGGTGATGAAATCCATTGTTAGGCTATACTAATTTAGTGTTGAGTATCGTGCTTTTATTTCCTGCTGTTTACTCTTACAATCCTTATTTCGTGATTCAATTTTTTGTGGAAATTGATATTTAAAACGTCCTTAATGAGCATGATTGTTGTCTTGAGCCAATTTACTCCAATGACTAACTAAAGAAAGAGAGTTAATTCCCGTCATAGAAAGGCTGAAAATTATATCGGCAATGCTGATTTTGACTACTATATGGTGTCTAATTCGAAGAAGTAGTGATCATAAAAAATATAATTCAGTAAGGCTACTTTCTGAATGCCGTTTTCTGTCCTGACTTAGCAAGAGTGAACCTCTATAAAATGTTCACATCTCACCTTGCTCTTTCACATACGGTATTAAATTTCAAACAATACGGTCAAACAAAATATGATTAATTAGGATCATTAAGACAGATCAACCCCACAAACACAGTCTTCATAACTGACTTAATCTTACAAGATCAAGAAGATTAACCTGCTGTAAAGGGCTTTGTTCCGTCGACACATGTCATAAAATAGAATAATATACCGTTATAGGGATAAAATTCTTTCTATTTAACGCCAGATATATGTATGTAATGTGGTGTCTTTAAAAACAATTTTGGGCCTGTTTGACAAAATCCTAAATTTTACACGACATGCAGATATCTGATTAATAAAATAATAATTTTCTCAATTTAACGCTGAGTAATCTAATTGCTTGGTCTAGGAATAGATGAATCCATTGTATCTTATTTTACAATATTATGATTTGAATTGATATAAATGTTTAATTTAAATAGTAAAGTTTTATGTACGTTTAACTTCAAGGGAAGTAATTCTCTGAAATTTTATTTGACCACTGAGTCCACTTATCAATTTTATTTTAAAACAAAATTTAGTCAATAAGGTTACCTAATAGCAAATCAGTAGAGGAGAAGAAAATCGGTGATCTGTAATAAGTCTTCGGAGTACTGTGATACGAAGCATCTCTCAATATAAAAGAATATCCCAAGGAACCACTTTCTATGCCTCCTGAATTTCTGTATCACAACCACCGACTACTCCCCTGCTCTGTTTCTGTAATTCAGAAAATTCTTTCCTTATACTACCTCATGGTTTCTACTTCCTTTGACTCTTTTTCACTTCCTTTATTCTTGAATTTAACTTTCCCTTCCTCTGCTCTGTTTTTCTTCTTAATCATGATTCTTTCCCAGGATTTTCGTGTTCTCTCTTTCCATCTTTTCTCCTTCCCATGCTCTCTTCTTTCCTCCTTACTTCTCAGCTTTATTTTCCCTGTTTCTACCCCCGTCTCTTCATGCCCCCTAGATACTATTACTGTATATTCATCCTAATACGCGGCATCACAATTTTGAAGTGCCTTTTTCCTTTCCCTATGTTAATCAAAATTACAATTTAACACGACAATCAAATTGTATACTTTTTGATGAGAACTTTTTGCTAAATATCTCTAAACCTTGAAGAACTATAGACCGTTTAAAATAGAGATAGTTAGATCCAGTGTATTTTATTTTTTAGTATTATCATTGTTATATTACATCACATTATTGTATTCTGTATTCATATCTGACTAAGATATTATTTTACCATTCAACGGAATGCAAAAGCGTTTTTATCTTTCAATTTTAAAGAATAATGGCGACCTCTTGGAACTATTCAAATCTACGATTTTTACAATTTATGCAATAAACTATAGAGATAGACCGTAAGATGGACTTTAAGATACATACTGATAAAATTCTGCTATTTGTGAATCCTATATGAGAGTAATACTCACTCTTCCAGAACACCTGATATTACTCGATACTGATAATACTCTGAAATGCATTAAATAAATTACAGATCGATATTCAATTTCTTTATGTAATATCCGTCCACGAAGATCTCCAATCAATCACAAAATATTAATATTATCAAGAGTAGCCGTTTAGAAGATTAATCATTTAGTAATTATCGGGGGAGAGAAGACATCTAGACGCTTATGGTATAGTTGACTAATGCACAACATTTGACACATGGATTAGAATAAAGTAAATGTTAGTAGTTAGTAGTTAGTAAATGCTGAGAAAATGTTTTTCCAAACAGTAGAATGGTTGCATCACATTTGACTTTTGCTCATTCTACCCATGCTTTTTAAATCTGATCAAAAATAAGTTTAATTAATTAGTTAATTGAGTAAATTTGAATTCATGTATGTATACATAACTGATTATATACTTAGTGTGTTGCAGTTATCATTGAATGCCTGCATTTCAGAAATTTATTTGACCTTATTTTAGTCGTCAACCTTTGAATAAAGCAGAATCAATTCAAACTACCCATTGCGTGTGAAAGTGGTTGGAACTAAGAGAATTTCAGACTTCTAAAACAAGTGCAAAAAGTGTCAGACTAAGCTCTCTGCAAACATATGTTTTTTTCTCAAGAATTTCCTTAATTATTCCATACATTTCACCATTTCATTCAGTTTTCCGATTGATTGTTCTTATTTATAATGCGTTAAATTACTGTGACTAAAAACTATAAACTGTAGATTGACATATTCATTAACATGCACGCACATGGACGTGCAATTGTTTCAGTCTATAAAAGACAGATGTCGGTTTATTATTCAGATATAAAAATGAAACATCACACAAAGAAACATTTTCAATTGTTTTACTTGAAAGATAAAAGACTTAACCGACTGTGGTAAAAATCTATTTTATTCCAAATAAAAAATATTCTACTCTGTGTTTTGTATAGAATAGGTTGTAGTATGCAAGTAATCAATAATTACTTTAATAAGGTATTTTTTCTACCTTTCTGCTTAAGGGACGACGTTTGTGGTGTCAGACAAGACGCTTTTAAAATAATCTGGATTGGATATCTGATTGGATTGGATATCTGATTGGATTGGATATCTGATTGGATTGGATATCTGATTGGATTGGATATCTGATTGGTTGGAGTTTTTGGTCAAGAATCCAATCTAATCAGATATCCAATTCAATTCAATCCAGTATCAAATATTGAATATATCTGATATAGCCTAAGTGGATACTGTTCAATAGACTGCGTTTGTCAACCATTATTTTAATGAGCCCATGAGAAGTACGATTAAACTCCTGAAGATGTTTACGGAATCATAGCCTAAGAAGTGACCAAATATAAATTTATTTCCAAATCTTAAAACTTATAGCAAATTTTTGTTCCTAATTTGTCGACATCTTAGAATGTCACCATCAGAGGTCAGCCAAAAGTCAGTAAGTTTTGATCCAATCAGGTTATCTAAATTAGTCACTCACTGCAATGAATTCTTGATAATTGACCTAAGATCGATACTAATGACACTTTAATATGCAGTATTATTATTTTAGTGATATCAATAGATATAGATTTACACCTAAAATATCAGATTTGTCAAGGTCACAGAGGTCATGACCCCATTAATTTTAGACGTCTATTGGTCAATAATAATTGAACTGATGTAAATTAGTTAATTTAAGTAGAAAGATTAAACTGAAAGTAGAATGATTGTACTCCATTCACCCGAGTTTCATTATAAACCAATAATAAGATGACCTCCACAGGCCAGTTAGGGTCAATTAGTTAACGTGTGATGTCCTGGCCTGAATTTCTAATCAATTCGACACTTTTTTATAAGAGATGATTTTCTTTCATTGAAAAATACTATAATAATACCAAAGCAAGCTTTTTAGGCAAAGAGGTTGCGATTTCCCACGAACGACAAATTTGACCATGGTGGTCGTACACCTTCTGAAACCGTATGTGAGACCATTCGTTCCAATGCGATTTAGATCTTCGACAGGATCTGTCACCATTAACCTATCTCATGTGATTTCTGGTAAAAGTACATTTTCAGCAATTTGGTTTGGTGGGGAGGCGGTTGTTGGGTTGTCACTGCTTCAATTCGCTCAGAAGTTAGGATGGATGGGAACAGGCTAGAATCTAGTAAGTGAACGCCACTTTCCGCCAAATGAACTGGAATGTTCAATGCCCCATAAGCACTAAGTATCCAAAAGAGCAAATATCTGGGCAACTGCATGAATACCCTGAATTAAGATATGATGGGAATTTATCTGTAAGTGTTCTGTACATCTATCCTCTAAAATAACCATTAACATATAAATTGTGTTGTCTCTATTGATCAAAGTATTGAAAACAGAAATCAAACAGTAAACGATTGACAAATAACACGTTTCACCAACGTTTGTACATAGACATATATTGGTCGATAAAATAATTTACTGGGCCCTATATAACTTCATAAAATGACCATCAAACAAATTTTTATAGATCTTTGACATCAAATTGATAAATTGACGGTAAAATGTCATTTTCTAGTGCTTTGTAGTATTTTCAATAAATGCAGCGTTATCAAAAGACCCTACTTCTTTTATGAGTTTTACAGCAACTAGAACAAGCAAATTGGTCTTTTGTTGATTTTGATTTATTAATATATATTCATATTGATGATATTGATGATATATAAAAACAAAAATTCCCCAGTTAAAACAGTTATCCAATATTAGTGGCGAAATGTTCCACCAAACGAAAGTTGTACCCGCGAAAATTTGAAAATTTCTGGGAACATTAACGGATGTTTAGTTTAAAACAGTGCTGCTACAATTTTGGTTTGAGGGAATAATATTTCTGATAGGATATAATTTTGCCCTTGTGAAGTAGTAGATAAAATTTCTGTTTATATTGGACGACATGCACATCTTTAATTAATGTATCATTCCAGAACCCGAAGCACGT